GTCATGAATAATCGAAGAATAAGTTTTATTCTCATCCTTTTGATGATAGCCTTAGGCGTAGGTTCTACCCAACCCAAAAAACTCAACCTCTCGGAAGACGAAATCCAAAGATGGCTGAAGCAACGCAACAAGCCTCCTTTTAAATCCATCCAGGTGCATACATACACACACAAAGTGTTGTAGCAAAATTTTTTATGATATATATATATATATATACAAAATCCAAAAAAAGTAGATAAATTAAATAGAGTCCAGATGGAGATATCGTAGATTGTGTTGTCATTACCGAGCAACCGGCTTTTGATGATCATCTACTTAGAAATCACACTATCCAGGTATATTATGTACGGTATCATGTACCTATTTGAAATATCCCTACTCTTTCTTTGTTTTACTAGTTTATTAGTACAGATATTTATTTTGTGCTCACAAATATTGTAAAATAGATGAGGCCTAGTTCCTATATAGAAGATCTTTTTAAACGGAGTAACGATGCTATGGGTTCGGAAGTTATATCTCAACTTTGGCACACGAATGGTGAATGCCCTGAAAACACTGTTCCGATCAGAAGAACAACAAAAGAAGATTTGTTAAGAGACGAGAAATACTTTAAAAAGTATGAAAATGAGATCACAACCCATGAGGTGTTTGATCGCACCTCCACGTCTCCGCTTATTACATTTCTTCCCCTTTTGCCTCTTTCTTTTTCCTTTTACTTTGTTACATGCGGGAGCTATTATAGTACGCAGCAGTGCGGGCTACTCGGGATACGTATAATGGAGGAAAGGCATGGATAAATGTATGGAAACCCGCACTCCAAAAAAACGCTGAAGGGTTTAGTTTGGCTCAGATTTGGGTCACAAAAGGAGTTCGAGGTTTGGACTTGACTACCTTAAAGGCTGGTTGGCGGGTACATCACTTTTTTTAACCAAAATTTGAAACTCTGTATTCATTTATAACTGTAAATTCGAATCGTTTATTTTTCTCCTTATAATGATAGGTTGTCAGAGGTGATAATTACACGAGAATATTTACTTTCTAGACGGTAAGTTTTTAGTTGGTCTTGGTGTAGTTTTTTCTTTCCTTGTCTCCGTTCAAAGAGTTTGTATTAATTAACACGTTCTCTAAACCAAAAATAGAGAGATTCTTATGAAGACACTGGCTGCTACAATCTTGAATGCCCGGGCTTTGTTCAGACCAGCAATGCATTGCTCTTGGTGCTTCCATCAAGCCCATATCCATCTACGGTGGTTCTCAATATGGTATTGTGTTACTTATCTCCAAAGTAAAGCTCAAACACTATGTAGATTCCTTGTTATCCAAGCAATACTAATTTTATTTTTTATCAAAACCATCGCCTTGTCCGATATAGCACGATCAAGTCTTCCTCTCTCTCGGGAACAACAACAATGGTGTAGTAGGAGGAGATTGAGTATTGTCATCGTCAATTCGGTCTCGGCGCCGAACATAAACACAAACCATAAAAAACAACAAAAATTAATAATTTAACTAATGAGTATTTCAATAATCATTAAACATTTTAAAAAATTATCATATAGATGATGAGATAGATGTTTATGTGTGTTTGCAATTGTGTGGCATGTCTATAACTAAAATAGTCGATGATCAACGTTATTATTTGAATTCACTCTAATAAAAAAAAAACTTATTTACCCACATGTCTGTGGTCGAGCGGTACCTGGACTGGAAGTGAGGGTGTTCCTCCTCCAGGGGTTCGAATCCAGACATGCGGGGAGGGAGAGGTATAGCCAAAGGCTGTGTGTTCAAATGCTGTTTTCGGGCCCAGGGAGATGTAAGTTGGGCCGAAGGCCCAAGTGAACTTCCTGGTTTGAGGAAAAAAAAAAACTTATTTGTACGGGATCGTAAATCATAGAAATGGGTCCAAAATTTTATATTATCAAGAAGGATCAATAGATGAGTATAAAATTTAATATTGCAATTTGCAAATCCCTTGATGATTTAAATTCATTCCCTCCATAAAATGTGATGGTACTAACGAAATTCAACACTATGTAAAAATATATATTTTGTCAAATACATGTCACAAAATCCATAGACAGAAGCAAACCAAAGTCCTCCTCGTTACTTATTTTGAGTTAATACAACAAACTTCAAATACACACATAAAAATGAAACTACATATATATATTTCGCATTTAAATTCAACACAGACCATTTCCATAACTTTAAACCAGAGTCTCTCCCTCCCTCTCTAACATGAACACACGAAACTGTCGGGGACCTGAGAGGTGTACCAAACTACCACCATTCTTACACCTTCTTCCTCTTTGTATTTTTTGTTTCATTCCCAACGACTTCGATATCAGTCAACACTTTAGCGTCTATCAAAATTTTCACAGTTTCTAAGAATCAAAACTTACGATAACCATTCAGCCAAGAATCATAAATCTATACCCAGACTGGCTAGCTCGACCGGTAAGTGTAAGACACAAAGTGTCTTTTACGACATGATCGAATTCCAATTGGGAGGGGGCTCTTCCTTCGGGATAAACATCTGGTCGACCTCGGACCTATAGAGTTGTCTGCGGAGGCCAAAGGGCACGTCAAACTTCCTGCTTGAAAAAAAGAATAATCACAATCTTATGGGTTGATAGAGATCCCAAAAATTTTCTTGTTTGATCGATAAAAGGAGAGAAATAAAATCGGATAAAAGGAAAATATCATGGTGAGAGAAAGTGTTTTACGTGAAGGGTGATCAACCAAAACAAGTTATCGTATATAAAGAGACGTTCATGTATTGTTCATCAGTTTCTCCAGCTTTTCCTTTCAAACCCCCACCCCTTTCCACAGTTCTTCCTTATTTGACAGATGATTTCTCTCTGTGTTCTTTTGATTTATATTATTACCTTGCCCATAAGTACATACCCATTCTTCTATATAAACAGAATGTATATTATATCAACATCTTTTTTATATATAAAATATATCAAAACATGTTAATGTTTTTCTGAAATCTCGGATTACCGGTGATCGTATACTCTGTAGTATCCACCGATAGGCGTAAGTAGCGAATAACATGTAGTTGGATTATAGCTTGAACTTCTCCACAGTCTTACATCATTATTATTTGATTATTTTTTTTTATTAAATTCTTTAACAAATAAACTTCGTTTTTCTTTTTGTTCTAATTATTATTTTCGTTGTTACACATTATCATATATATGACATATTATCTAACATTCATTATCAGTGATGATGTATTATGTATCCAATTATATATATCGATAGTTTTGATTAAAATAGAAATATAAATATTAAAATAAGAAATTTTATAAAATGTAGATATTTAAATATCAAGAAGATGCATATGGACTGGATTGGGGATCCTGGGAAGGCACATCTACTGGGGAAATGTATATGACGCCGTCAACAACAGTTTTCTCACGTCCAATATTTTTTAACTCCCAACATTTTTTTCTCTCTAAACACTGAAATATTTATTTACCATAGAAAACCATATATCATCATAATCTCTGTCAAGAATATAAAACCACATACCATATAAAACTCCTAATATTTTTTTTTTTTTGAAATTTTTGTACATAAACATTCGTTACATTATTTTTTATAATCGTGTTTCGATTTTGAAAAAATTTATCTTACATTATTAAATAAAAGAGTCTGAAATCCGGTCACACCCCACCTGAATATAGGCTCAAAGTTTTATTAGGTCGAGTTAGTCCAACCCGAAAAATTCTAAACCCGAACCGAACTCAGTCTGAACCCTCCTTGAACAACCCATTTTACATCTCTATCCATCGTAGACTACGCAATACGACCATATATAACGATCGAAATTAAATTTGTATATTTTCTGCAGAAGATCGACGCAACAGCCTAAATGATCTGATGGTATTCTAACATCAGCATCAAAACGATCACCAAAATCTAGAGTTAGATCCCTGGATTTTCCGACGTCATCGAAGATTTACGAACTCTATGTTTGAAATTCCGTTAACCAACTCGTCATACAAAAATAAAACAAAATTCAATTTTTATCATATAATCAATAAAAAGAAATCATGCGATTTAATAAGTTTTCCAGATTATTACATTATCAATTTAATTATTTTTTCAGACGTCACGAATCAAGAATAGAAGTAAGTTTTGAATTAAGTATTTATTTATTTATTTTTGAAGTATTTATCTCCTTGAATTCAATATATATCCTCTAACTATTGATAAAAATAAGCTGAACTAATTAGTTTAATTTATAGACGATGTAGAGAGAAATAAAATTTTGTAGTATTCAAAAATCTATTTATCAAAATAATATAAAAAAATTTAATGGAATAATTTTGCATTATAATTTAATGAAAATGACGACGGTGAAGGGTAGATGAAAATTTTTTAGAGGAAAAGTTAGTTTGGGCCTTAGATCCAGCCCGAAGTCCGATGGGCTCAGCAGACTTCCGAAAACCCGGAAACGTAATGGACCTATAAAGCCTTAATTTTTTGGAGTTAGGGTTCCTTCCTTGACATCCCATGAGAAAAACGGAGGGAAAACCAAAAAACTAATATGTTTTGTGTGTGATTTCGACACGAGAATCTATTTTCCCCATTTTAATCACAAAATGAAAATAAAAAAATTGAATGTTTTGGTCAGGGGGCGTTTTGGAAAACGGTCCGGGTTTGGTACCGGAATGCATAGGTTCTATTTTTTCGATTTTATAAAAATAGGTACCAATCGGTTTTTATATTATGTTCGGTTCGATTCGGTTTCGGTTTCGGTTTCGGTTTGGTTCAGTTTCGGTTTTTATTAAAAAAAAATTATGTTTTATAGGATTTTTTAAAATTCGATTTGGTTCGATTCTAAAAATTCGATTTTTTTTTAAAATAATACCATTCGAGAATTTAAAACGATTCGGATTAAAAAAATATCGTATTTTTCGGTTAGGTTCGGTTTTAAAGAATCGAACAGAAAAGGCCCAGCCTACTTTTGGTTGCATGCGGTGGACTTCTCTTCCCCGTCACACCAAATCGCCGATGAGAGAGGAGCTGAAGAATACAGACTTTTCGCTTTTGTAAAGAGAACCAAGAAAAAAAAAGCAGACTTATTCTGTGTCTACCATTTTTATACACAAACCCTCTCTCTCTCTCTCTCTCCTTACTGCCAAAACCTTGTTACCGTTGTGGGTTTTTGGTTAGGGTTCTGTTGATTGCCGGTCAGAACGGTATTTGACGGAGAATTTTCCAGTCAGATTCTAGGTATTGTTCTTCTGCCCTTCCCCCCTTTGCATTATGGTCTGTTTTCTCGCTGTTTGGTTCCTGAGAAAATGGCGAGTATGACGCGTTATTTCCTGGGTTCTGGGTTCTTTGTTGCTGGGTTTTACTGTGTTGAAGTCCCATTCTTGGCGATTTTGGTTTCGTCTTCCTTTCGAAAGCCTGAAACTTTTCTTCTCGTTGTTTCCACATTTGCTGATTTCTGTGCTAAGGAAGAATGCAGATGTGGATGTTGATTCTCCTCATGTTTTTTTAGTTGTTTTACATCCATGCAAGTTCTGAAATGATTTAACCGGGGTTTCTCTTTTATGCCAGATAACTGTCATGGAGGGAGAATCGCCACCAGGAGAAGTAGTGAGCATTAGGTTTGCTCTCGCTAGTCATAATGAAATTGTAAGTTTACAAGTGTCTCTGTGTCTGGATTTGACCCATAACTATCTGTTAATTTGGGCGATTTACATTCACCAAGTGGTTAGTTTGGTACAAACATATTCAACGAATATCATGTAAGATCTTGGTTTAATGCGCAATGTGGAAGCTCATCTTGTCTCTTCTGAATTCTATCTTTGCGATTTCAGTGTACAGCTTCTATAAGCGAGTGCCCCATTAGCCATGTAAGTCAGCTCTCTAACCCGTTTCTCGGGTTACCTTTAGAATGTGGAAAGTGTGAATCTTGTGGCACTTCCGAACCGGGCAAATGCGAAGGTACTAATGACCGTTTCAATTACGTTTTTTTTGTTGAAATATCTTTTCTGCTATTTATATTTGTTTTTCTTTATTCATTTTCAGGCCATTTTGGGTATATTGAGCTACCAACACCAATATATCATCCCGGTCATGTTAGTGAGCTGAAGCATTTGCTCAGTCTGTTGTGCTTGAAATGCCTGAAGATGAAGAAAGCTAAGGTATTACCTGATCTGTTTGCGGGTTTTCGTGATCTACATGTAAAATTGAAGTGGCAATGAGATCTTAAGTTAGATATGCTTGAATGTTGCTTTTGATATTCTCTTACTATTGTAGAGCTCAAGTGGCGGTCTGGCGGAGCGTTTATTAGCTGCCTGTTGCGAGGTAAGTCATTTAATTGATGCTAATTGTTGAACAATATCTCATTCATATGGATCTTTGGGTCATATCATAATACTGTAGTCGTTTTACTTCAGAGCTTTTATTTTGAGAAATTCTTGCATATCTCATGTCTAATGCTAAGATCTGAAGCAAAAATAAGTAGATCTTTCACCAACACCAGAATTACAAATTTGGAGTCCTAGATTAGGGAGAGGGCCCAGTCTCTTTTAATGTGGCTTTCTGATATGTTTTCCAGAATGTGCAATCATTTTGTTAATCCCAGTATTAATACCCATGCTCAGAACTAATGAACTCATGAGTATACCGGATTAGCTGAGCTGTCACTATAAGCCCTGTACTGGTTACAAACTCCCTTAACTAGTTACAAACCTAGATCTCTAAAACATTCCGAAATATCTGCATCTGTCCTGCCCAAGAAGAATCCGACTTCTGCATTTCCTCTAGGTCAAGCATCCGTAACTTCAACCCACGAAGGTAGATGTAATGGTGTATCAACTAACTTTTGAATTGCTATGTCAGGAAGCTTCGCACATTTCAGTAAGAGATGCGTCATCAGAAGGTGCATGTTACCTAGAACTGAAGCTCCCGTCTAGGTCGAGACTTCAGGATGGTTGCTGGAATTTTCTGGAGAGATATGGTTATCGCTACGGCAATGACCACATTCGGCCCCTGCTTGCCCGCGAGGTTTTATTCTTCCTCTTGTTTGTCAACCTTGTAGCTTACTGAATTCCAATTTACTTTTACGCTTATTAATTTCAAGTGTTAGTTGTTTTCGTTAGCAGTTGTGCTGATACTATGTTGCTGGAAATTGACAATAAAATTCCCCTCATGTCCTTTTTGTGCTTATTTGCCTTTCCTTTTCTGTATGTTGTTGAAAACAAATAGGTGAAGGAAATTTTAAAAAGAATCCCGGCAGAGACAAGAAAAAAACTTGCTGCAAAGGGATATTTTCCGCAAGAAGGATATATAGTAGAGTACTTGCCAGTCCCTCCTAATTGTTTATCAGTGCCAGATGTGTCTGATGGTTTCATCTCTATGTCCTCAGTAAGCCGCTCAAACTAGCTGTTTGGAAGAGTGGATCTTTGAATGCTTTTGCTTGTATATACATAGTAACTTGTGCATTTTGTCATCCTTTGTTCCAGGATCCTGCTAGAAGCGAGTTAAAAGATGTTTTGAAGAAAGTCATAGCAATAAAACATTCTAGGTCTGGTGAGACCAATTTTGAATGCCATAAGATAGAGGCCGATGACATCTACAAAGCAGTGGCTAAGTATCTCGAAGTCAGGGGGACTTCAAAAACTACAAGGAACATAGATATGAGGTACGGTGTTACCAAAGTTTCTGACGTTTCTTCTACAAAAGCTTGGTTGGAGAAAATGAGGACACTGTTCATAAAAAAAGGTTCTGGTTTCTCCTCCCGAAGTGTCATCACCGGTGATGCTTATAGGAGAGTCGACGAGGTTGGGGTCCCATATGAGATTGCCCAAAGAATGACCTTCGAGGAGAGGGTTAGTGTCCACAACCTAAGGTATCTGCAAGAATTGGTAGATAACGGGTTGTGTTTGACATACACAGAGGGTTCTACCACCTACTCTCTTAGAGATGGTTCCAAAGGGCACACTCTGCTGAAACCTGGGCAGATTGTACATCGAAAGATCAAGGATGGAGATGTCGTTTTCATAAATCGGCCACCAACGACTCATAAGCATTCGCTTCAAGCGCTTCGGATTTATATCCATGAAGACCATACAGTAAAGATCAACCCTCTAATTTGTGGACCACTGAGTGCAGATTTTGATGGTGATTGTGTTCATCTCTTCTATCCTCAATCTCTGGCGGCAAAGGCAGAAGTTATGGAGCTTTTCTCTGTGGAAAAGCAATTGCTTAGCTCACATAGTGGTCAGCTTAATTTGCAGCTGGGCTGTGATTCAGTGCTCGCCTTGAGGGTTTTATTTGAACGGCTATTTCTGGATAAAATAGCTTTTCAACAGTTAGCCATGCTTGGTTCTCATTCTTTCCTACCACCAGCCCTTAGAAAGTGTGGTAATGCAGGCCCTCTCTGGACAGCCCTTCAGGTTCTACAACTTGCCTTACCTGAGCGTCTGAGCTGCAGAGGTGACAGGTACTTAATACAAGGAAGTGATTTATTGGAGTTCGATTTTGGATCTGAAGCAATGGCTTCCGTAATCAATGGGATAGTGGCTTCCATTGTGTCAGAGAAGGGTCCAAAGGAGGCACTTCGATTCTTTGATTTGTTGCAGCCTTTGTTAATGGAACATCTTTTTGCTGAGGGCTTTAGCGTAAGCTTGGAAGACTTATCCATGTCTGAGAAAGACATGAAAGTTATCCATCGTATTATCCAGGATATTGTTCCTGTTTTGTCTCGCTTGAGGCTGAGCTACGAGGATGAACTGCAACTAGAGAATAGCTTCCAGCGTGTGAAGGGTGTAGCCGCTAACTTTATGCGGAAATCTTATTCTCTACGAAACTTGATTGACTTCAAGAGTGATTCATCCATCAACAAGTTGGTACAGCAAATAGGTTTCTTGGGCCTTCAGCTTTCCGATAAAAAAAAGTTCTACACGAAGAATCTGGTCGAAGACATGGCTCATTTTTGTCAGACAAAGTACCCTAAGGTCTCCTCCTCTGGTGAATTTGGGTTAGTGAAGAGCTGCTTCTTTCATGGGCTGGATCCTTATGAAGAAATTACTCATGCCACTGCAGCTAGGGAGGTCCTTGTTCGCTCTTCAAGGGGTTTAGCTGAGCCAGGCACCCTATTTAAGAATTTGATGGCTGTTCTCCGAGACATTGTGGTTTCCTATGATGGAACTGTGAGAAACACTAGCAGTAACTCTGTTGTGCAGTTCAAGTATGAGAACAAATCTGAACATGGGTGTCAGAGCATGTTTCCGGCAGGAGAACCTGTTGGAGTTTTGGCAGCCACTGCAATGTCAAACCCTGCCTATAAAGCTGTGCTTGATTCTACTCCAAATAGTAATTCTTCTTGGGAGCTAATGAAGGTAAAGGGGTTTCAGAGCTCCCTCCCATTTATGCTGTTAAAGGCTTGTTTTCTAACTTCTGTGTGTACTAATAGCGCTTTCTGGTGTATCTAATGTTCCTTCCAGGAAGTCCTGCTTTGTAAAGTCAAATTCCAGAACACATGTAATGACCGGCGAGTAGTTTTGTATCTAAATAAATGTCGCTGTGGAGGAAAGTATTGCCAGGAAAAAGCTGCTTCAACTGTCATTACCCAGTTGAAGAAGATTAGTCTTAAAGATGCTGCAAAGGAGTTCCTGGTTGAGTAAGTTTTGGGTGCTAATAACTGTTTTCTCTCTTTGCCTTCTTAATCTTCATGCTTTTTTTTCTTTGGCTACTTGAAATCCTCATAATCTAATTTTTTTTACCTACATGTAGGTACAAAAAGCAACAAACTATTTCGGAGAATTTTGGGCTTGATTCCTGCCTTCTCGGACACATTCATCTGAATAAGGTTGTCATTTCTGTTCCTGCATTCATTAATCTTTTCCTGACAGCTCAGCATTTGAAGTTGTTTAGTCCTATATTTTCCTTCTATCTGTTTTTTGTAATGGATGTTCTGTTTAATAGATGATGTTGCAAGAATTGAACATCAGTATGCACGAGGTTCTCCAGAAGTGTGAGGACAAAATTAATGCATTGGGGCAGAAGAAGAAGAAGAAAGCTGATGACCTTAAGAGAACAACTTTGTCTGTCAGGTTTGTTCATAATCGCTTATCTTGTGGGCATTGTCACTATTTTGAAGAACAAGTCAATGTTTTCTTCAAAAGCTGGTCTTCATTTTAATAAATATTTTGTTTATTCAGTGAATGTCTACTTCTATTACTATTTTTTTCCTTCTCATTTTAGTTAATTTGTGATTTTTCTTGGACTGCACAGCGAGTGCTGCTTTTTTCCGGAATCATGTGCAGGCAAGGACTCTGATGTGTCATGCTTGACGTTCACCTCTCATAACCCAGCTGATCCTGATTTAGAAAGAACACTTGATGTTCTTTGCAATACAATCTACCCAGTACTGTTGGAAACAGTGATCAAAGGTACTTGGATGTTGCTTTCTGTCATTCCTAAAGTCATTGTCGGTTCCCTGTTTGCTTCTCTACCTTCTTGTTTTCTTTTGGGTTGGGATGATGGGTTTTTGATAACAGAGGGTTTCTTTCATTTAATCCTGTAAGCTTTTTTGTTTTCATATTTTTTATCGTGTTGTGAAAATGTCACTTTGCCTGAGTTACGTCGAAAATAAGACTACCAGTTCTATTTTCTTCTGATGATGTTTCTAAAATGTATAGGCGATCCACGGATTTGTTCGGCAAACATCATCTGGAATAGTCCAGATATGACGACGTGGATTCGGAATCGTCATGCAAATCGTTGGGGGGAATTGGTCTTGGATATCACCGTTGAAAAATCTGATGTCAAACAATCTGGTGATGCATGGAGGATTGTGATGGACTCTTGTATTCCGGTGCTTCATCTTATAGACACCAAACGTTCAATCCCTTATGCAATAAAGCAAGTGCAAGACTTGCTTGGAATATCATGTGCTTTCGAGCAAGCAGTTCAGGTAATAAATACTTCATTCATAATTTGTTTTGGTACTGCTCCTTGAAATAGAGTTTTTTTTCTTTATTCATTGTCTCTGATGTAAAGCACTAAGACATTGATTGGTTTTTGCAGCGTCTCTCAGCTTCGGTGAGAATGGTTTCCAAAGGAGTGCTAAAGGAACATCTCATTCTCCTGGCAAACATAATGACTTGTTCAGGGAATATGTTGGGATTCAACTCAGGAGGTTACAAGGCTTTGACCCGATCGCTAAACATCCTGGCTCCTTTCACAGAAGCTACATTGATTGTAAGTAGTCCTGTTCTTTACTGCAGAATACGGAACCTTCTACCAGTTCTTACTATGTTAGATTGTATCTGCTGTTACCAACTTCCAAACTGAGCTTGTTTAACTCATGCAGACGCCAAAGAGATGTTTTGAGAAAGCGGCTGAGAAGTGTTATAAAGATCCTTTATCAACAGTTGTTGGGTCCTGTTCTTGGGGAAACCGTGTTGCTGTTGGTACGGGTTCGCGGTTTGATCTCTTATGGAACCAGAAAGAGGTAAAAACCCGTTCTTTCCGAACCATATTGGGCAGCATTCTGTGTTTGCCATCTTAGATTGGCTCACATAGCATGCCTGATAATCTTATATTCTCTACTTGAGATGTTATTTGCAGGCTTATCTGAACGACGACGGAGGAATAGATGTGTATAACTTTCTCCACATGGTCAGATCTGGCACGAATGGAGATGTAAATGCTTCTTCCCCCGGTTTTGATGTTGATGATTTTGTTACAGAAGGAGAAATGGCTGAATGGGCCGAATCTCCCGAGCGAGACTCTGCTCTTAAATTTGAGGACAGTGGCGATTTCCAAAATATACTCGATGAAGGTCAGCCAGCTGGATCTAACTGGGACAAAGTTTCTGCTGGAGAAGACAATGGATCGTGGGGAGGTAAAACAGACTGGGGAAGCAGTAAAACTGCAGATCGCGATCAGACAACGAGCTCTGGTGGTTGGGAGAAAGGTACTGATGTCGATAAGGAGGATACCTGGTGTAGTTGGAAGAGTAACAACAAGTCAGATGCTCAAGAACCCTCCAAGTCAGGTGCATGGGAAGAACCGGTCGATGGTTGGGGTTCAAAGCCAAAGGATGATAATAGAAACACATCGAGCTGGGTAACACATGCAACTGAAATGGATTCTTTCTCCGTGAAAGAGGATGAACCCAGCTCTGATCCATGGGGTTCAAAGCGAATGGATGACAATACAAACACTTCGAAGTGGGGAACAAATGCGAATAATAAGGATTCTTCTGCTACGGAAGAGGATGGGCCCGGGTGTGATGCCTGGGGCTCAAAATCTGTTTCAGATATGTCTTGGGGCCAAAAGAAGTCTGAGTCTGCACCAAAAGATTGGAATTCTGAGAGAGATGCAAGTACTGATGTTTGGGGCCAGAGAGGCAGTCCTAGGAACAATGAAAAAGAGAGCAATACTTGGAGCATCAGCCCAAAAGAGCCAAATGCCACTGAAGGCACCTACCAAAGCGACAAAGAAGCTTGGGGTGTTTCAAAGGAGTCAACTTGTGCTTGGAACCAGCCAAGTAGCGGAAATGCTTGGCAACAATCCAGAAAAGAATCAAGTGCTGATGCTTGGAATCAGCTAAATTCTGGTAATGATGGGCATACTTGGGAGAAGTCAACTGAGAGAAGTGGAAATTCAAACGGGTTATCTTGGGGTGAGCCAGAGAAAGGAGAAGAGAACCGAAACGACGATCTTTGGGCTTCAAGAAAAGAGCCAAGCCCTACTGCTTGGAACTCATCAAACAAACACGATATCAATGAGGATGACAAAAATCCATGGGTTTTGCCGGAAGATAGCGACAAAGGTGATACCAATGAAAATGAGAAATTCCAATGGGGATCGTCCAAAAGATACCCATCTGATGGCTCACGGGGTGGCTGGTCTAAGGGTAATTCAGACTGGAAAGGAAAGAGCAACCGTCCTCCTCGGCCACCTGGAACCGGTAATGGAGATAATCTGGCTCCTATGTTTACAGCCACAAGACAAAGATTAGATATGTTCACTTCCGAGGAGCAAGATATTCTCGCAGATGTTGACCTGATCATGAAGACTGTTCGCCGTATAATGCATCAATCTGGGTATGTATTTTTGTAGTTCATTCATTGCTACATCTATTAGCTTTAAACTTCTTAGGTTTGGCCAAATCACTTTCCAGATCTCAGATTATAACTGTGGAATATACTCTGCATTTCATGCATATAAAGATTTCTGGTTGTACCTATATCTTCTTGTTGACGAATGAACTGAGTACGCTCTTTCTTTACTTATTCATTTTGATCTCTAATGAACCAAATTTTTTGTTTGATTGAAAATTCTCAAAAAAAAATATATAGGTACACGGATGGTGACCCGATTCCAGCGGAGGACCAAGCATTTGTTCTTGAGAAAGTTTTGAACTTCCATCCAGACAAAGCGTCGAAGCTTAGTGATGGCGTCGATTTTATCACGGTAAAAATTTCAATCTCCTTAATTTCTTAAAACTAGATTTGTTTTTAGCTCTTCTATGATGCAATCTGAAGTACATTGCTGTGCACATTCAGACATATTTGTATATATTTTGGTTGTCAAAGAAACACAGAAAATAATTTGTTACCCCGTTTCGGATTGTGAAATTTCTAGACAGAATCTCTCTATTTCTGGCCAATATAATCTGATGCATCATAGTCGTGGATGGAATTGCAGGTGGACAAGCACACATCCTTCCAAGACACGAGGTGCTTCTTCATTGTCTCAACCGACGGGTCGAGAAAAGATTTCTCCTACAAAAAGTGTCTTGATAACTTCATCAAGGAGAAATACCCTGACTTGGCCGAGGAATTCATCTCTAAGTACTTCAGGAAGCCTCATCCTGGCGGAAACCGAGACAGATCCCAACAAGAAGCCTCACCTAAAAAACCCGCCTGTGAAGAGCAAAACTCCATGGCAGAAGTCCCGGGATGTCCCACCGGAGAAGAAGAGACTTTGCAGTAAACTTGGAAAGCTTTATTTTAGGTCTCACCATTCATCATCTGCTATGTTATTTTGCTTTTGTACATAAAGAGCAGAGAAGGAAGATGTATGGTCCATTTTGAGTTAGCGTTTTGGTAAATAACCAAACCAGTTAAGTGTTAATACATTTTCTGACAAAATGGTTTAGGGTTTAGATCAACAGACCCCCACCCAATGTTCTATTTGTTTTGCAAATATTATTTATCATCTTTGTTGATGTTGAGATCAGAGTGGATAATACCGTCTGGTTCTTGATTTTCCGGGTTTTTTCTGGTTTTTTCCGGTTTAATGTTAACGAAGACCCAAGCCGGGTGCATCTGCCCGTGGTTGATCAGGTCCCATCCGGTTTAAGAGATAATGGTGGATGGATACGGGATATTTCAAATTTGTTCCTTTTGTTTTTTTATTCTTTGCAAAGCGTATAAAAAAAAATTGTGTATATGCAATGCGGTAGGAAAAAAAATCATATTTGCAAACTGTATCTATTTTTATAAATATCGATAACATATTTTTGTTTGCTTGTGGACTTTATATTATTTATTTATGGAATTTTAATTAATTTTCGAATAAATTTAATATTTCTTTTACTCGTTATATATCCTATTTTATTGTAGGATACCAATCATTATAATAATTATTTTCTATTGCTAATTTAATAAATTGTTCTAATTTTTACAATAATATATCCGTTTAATTCTTTAATTATGTTATTAATTTGTTTTATTGCTATTATTTTTTTTATTGAAATAATGGAGACAATATTATGCCATATCTTACATGTAATGAATTCAAATGATATAAATGTTGGAGCGTCTTTCACTTACTATGTCCTATACCGAAACGTAAGTGTAGTGAAAAACAGGTAAGGATGTAGGGTGTCTCCAAATACGATATATTATATCGGTGTCTATATATAATGCTAAATAGATAAAGGTTCTCACATCGTAATTAGATGTGAATAAATAAACTAATCCAAAACTTTGATGTCACTAAAAGTGTAGGTGAGGTAGACAAAAAAAATTATAGGAAGAGGAATAAGAAAGTTTCTGTAGAATGGAGAGTTAGAGTATATTTGGAATATAGGATGGTTTACAGAAAAAATTGATGGTAATTGCCTGCATCATAGAGACAAAGTGGGTAGGATAGGTAAAGAAATTAGAAATACGTGTTTTCATGGTATCTGTTTCTGCTAGGTTTTGGAGATCCCTAAATAATACGTTTACAACAGTTTCTAGGGTTCCAATTTTAGATTTTACGCAATAGAATTATATGAACGAAATCGAAAATAGCATATCTTGCATGAATTGACAAAAGTATCGATATTCCAATCTGATTCGATTCCGTATCTTGTTACAAAAACGTTGAAATCAACGTTCTCTATAAATAGTCCACACTCATGGGTTTATGCGTCTGCTAGAACGCGATCTAGACGTCATAACAATCCACGTTGAATTGAGTCAGAAACGATCTAAACAAGGTGATAACAACTCAAGTTTTGATTCTTTATCTCACGTTATCATATATTGAACACGAGTAAGAAATAATTCACCCTTCAAGTTCAACCGTTTTCTCATCCAATAAATCGACATACAAAATAGATGAGCCATACATCTATAGCACAACCATGCATTTTTCGCAGCATGATTTTTACGAGAAACCCAACGATATCTCTCGTTATAAGGCAACAAATCCCGTTATGACTAAATTATCTCCACATGGTTCGTAAATGTATCTAAACAATATTGTTATGATTATTAGATTAAAGACGATGTTTGTTGTAGTTAAGATACGCTACTCTTCATAGCAGATACTCTATATATCTCAGGTATGAAGATCTAAGAACGAACCATTTCATGAGATTCAAGTTCTACTTCATGTCCACATGACAATATCACGCGGATCATCCACTCGTTTCAAATGAGTACCCATGATTGCGATTCACAACCAATGTGCATGATCATCTATATGGTCATGAATCACACCTCATATGGATCTTAATTCATCATCGCTCTCACGATAACAATCGATTATGTAATTTAGAATCATTTTGTAATGACTCAACAATATAATATTACAAACATACAAATCATATAACGGAAAATATAATGTATTCATTTAAATCAATTTATATGGTACAAATATCATACCTCAAAATATCCTAAAGCATCACAACTAACAATTTTATAACCTTACATATTGAAATCATAAGTGAACATAATAAAATACAAAAAATCTCTTCTAGCGGATGAATTAATAGATTCACATATATCACTATGTATAAAACTTAGTAATATTTTTGTCCGTTCTTATAATAAAAAGAGTTTTTACCATTTTACACATGTAAAAGCTCTATGATGTGGGGAAAAAAATCCATATGATAAACACTCGGGTTTGTTTGGAATGACAATTTTAAAAACTTTTTTTTTGTAACCATCTTGAACCGATGCCCAAATTAGTTTTGGGGATGAGAGTTAGCCATGTGTTTTGGATTATACATTTTTTCTCTAAATTTGAGGTTTGAATTCGTGACGGAACAAACGTTTTACGTCCCTCTTCCACCGGTTGAACTAACCAAGTTTGGATGAAAATTTTCGCAAAAACAAAAAAGTTTGAATGAAATTTTAAAACTTTTTAGATATTAAGCCTTTTTTTTGTTCCTGCTAACTAGATACGCGACTAAAAAAACAAAGGTAGGTTTAATATGGTTACTATTTTTTAAAAAATTATGGTGTACTATTTTGGAAAAAAAAGGTTAAAGTTTTATGATATACAATTAAATGTTTTATTTTTATGTAGACAAATATATTAAATATCTTTAAACCAAGGATTCATTAAATTAAAAAAATATATGTCCACGTCATCATGACACTAAATAATATTAAATTTATATTTATACAATCAAATTTGATAAATCAATAATATTAAATTTTATTAAATCAGATTGAATTAATAAAAAGATTTTAAAAAAAAGCACTTAGAAGGCCGGAGGGCGGCGAGGCCTAAAAGTCAAGCTTTGGTATTTCTCTGGTCTCATGAGGCTGCGCGCGTGACTTTTATCCGCTTCCACTCCCTTCTTTGCACGTATTATTATTATTTATATAATTCTATGGCAAATAATATTAAAATCTTAAATCTTCTATGCAATGTTAAAAGCAATCTATTTATGTGTTACGTGTCGCTGTAAAAAAGTGTCACAGACGTTCTCTTTCCTACTCATTCCCTTTTTTCTCTTTTAAATTTAATTTTAAATTTTTAAAATTTTAAAAGTTCTCATTATTTGATTAGAATTTGATTTTTTTTATTATTTTATATTTAGTTCTAATTTAATTAATTTGATATTAAATATATTAAATTAAGTTTTATATAAGATATACCGCTGTCAAATTTGTTTTCACATTGCTTGAATTAAAGTATTCAAATATCAAGATTAATTAGTTAACAAAAATGTCGTTTCCGCTTTAGTTTCTAGAATATCAAACCTTAACTTGAATTCACAACATATAATAAATTGATGGTAATTGCCTGCATC